CTGAAATTCCAGTCAGTGTCACAAGTTACAGTTTTGACAATGTCACTAATGGGATTCCATCTTTGTAATAGCAATTCACCAAAGACACAATACATAACACCAACTGGAATTTCACCCACATATGTAGCCATGTGTAAAAAGAGAACCACAGATTGCTGATGTGATTAACTTTTCATTGCTTGATAATTACATAATAAACACACCTCTAATTCCCTCTGTCCATTTTGGACTTATACACAATCAGCAACACTCACAAATTAAACTTCAAAATGTTAGTAATTTTGTTTAAAATATCCTTTTGGTATATTGCTCAATTGATACTGAAAACATCATTCAGTTCACACTAGTCTTAACTACATGTCACCATTAAAAAAAACAATTCCTATTTGGCTTTACATGTAATAATAATAATAATGGCAACAACATGCTTCAAGTGGGGTCACTATATAATAATAATAATCCTTGCATTTGATATAGCGCCTTTTCACGTCATCGAGACGTCTCAAAGCGCTTCACAGGATACATAATAAAGTGGATTGACTATGTACTATGTATTTTGTGGGCAAAAAGCAGCTGCAATACTCGTTGCTGTGAAATTGTAACGGGTCAGATCAGAATCTGCATTGTCTGTAAATTGATTTCTGTAATAACATTTACATTTAAATAACTTTTGAAAGAAACATAATAGAACAGTAGAAATGCAAACACGCCATTAAAGTTTCATCTTGTGAAAGGATTCAAGTCTGTAAGATGGCACAAGCAGAGAAACTCAACAGCTGTTAAGCAAACAAAAGATTTATTCCAATAATGGTGTTTTCACAGCAATGATTATTGCAGTTGCCTTTCCCTTGATATAACCCTTTTTTGATTTCTGTGAGCAACTTTGGCTGCCAGCTGGAAAATGTGCACTAACTTGAAACCTAGGATTTGAAACTATTGTCTGAAGGATTTATGAATGTATAAAGATAAAACTACAATTCCAACAAACAAGGCAGAAAGGAAGCTGGACTATATTGCTAAATCAGTTGAGTTCCAATCCGCAGACATCCCAGTGAAGCTGCATAACGCTCTAGCGCTTAACAGTGGCTGAGCCCGATGGCTTGGGATTCAGCTCCACCGCTGTTAAGCGCTCCGAGATGCTGCCCTGCATGAAGGGCGCTGTATACATCCAAGTTGTTATTGAAGTTGTTGTTGTGGTCAGGCCACACCTGGATTACTGCACACAGTTCTGGTTGTGCAATAGAGGGGAGCTACCCCAGTGGCAGTATAAACGAATGTTCCAATGAGAGGACACAGATATTGTGTTGCAAAGGGCAACTTCAAACAGACACCAGAAAGTGTTTCTTTACTCAGAGTGTAATTAACGACCGGAGCAGATTGTCTGGAAAGGTGGCTGAGACCAGAATATTGGGTCTTACTTAAAAAACAGTTTCAAGCTGTAATGGGAGGACAGAAAGGTGGATGAGACCTGATGGGCCGAAGGGTTTCCTTCATCCAAACTGATCTTACGATCTTGTGAATGCAAAATGCCGATTAACATCAATGGCACGTCCTACAAGAAACAGGTTGTGGCAGAGACTGAATTGATGACTCCTCTTCCTCTGTGGAAATCATAGTAGAGTTTTCCAACAATCACCTGACACTTTCAATCTATGGATCAATGTGAAATCAAACAGAGAAGAAATTATACAGCGACGACAGGAAATCTGATTTTTGTTATCTTATTATTCGCAAGTTCAAAACCTGTAGATTTGAATGGAATTTTCAGAGAGTTAGTGAAATACAAATAATGATGCAGCATAAGCAGAAATTCTACTCCTGTGGATTTTCAATGCCATGACCATTACTGAAAACAGCAAGCAAGAAAGAAATACTATAGCATGTAGCACATATTGCAATACACAAATGATAACCTGTGGGAGGTTAGTATTCATTTGGCTGCTCCCATTTCAACCTCTGATTTTGCTTTTCTTTACGGTTATTAGGGTGTAAGAAAACCTCACCTCAAATTTTTTACTAATATTTCCTATTTTCTTCCATCAGAAAAGGTAATTTTCTCATCTTCAAGTTAAAAAGTTATGAGCTCCAGCACCATATTAGGATTTTGTGATCATAGGGGCTAACACTAGCAGTGCTGGGGGAGTGGTGCAATGTTGGAGGAACTGTCCTTCAAATGAGGTATTCATCCGAAATCCCACCTGTCTGTTCAAGTGGACCTTAAAGACCCTATGGCATCATTCAAAAAGAGAAGTGAGTTTCTTTTGGAGTTCTGTCTGACAATCCCCCAGACTACAAAAATCATTCACTTCACAACTATTAGTGAAACATTATTATGTGAAATTGGATGCCGCATTGTATACAAAATAGACAGTCACTACACTTTATAGTCAAATCCTGTAAAGGATTTTGAAACATTTGAATGGCATGATGAGGCATTATATCAAATGCATGGATTATTATTAGTTTTATTATTAAATTCCAAGGAACTGTATTTGAATTATCATACCAAGTGTGCAGAGCTCTGTTTAACATGCGGTTAGCTGCTCAGCATAACCACAAGAATTTTCCAGATGCTTGAATATTTAGAACAGTTACTTACCAATGAAATGCCAAGGGTCTGATCAATAATTAATTAAACAAGCTCCATTTGACTAGTCATCAGCACTACGCACTCACAATAAACATGGCATCTTGAAATTGTTCCAATCAGTTTGCAAGTTGAAGATAACCTCTCCACTGCCTGTTCTGCAAAGCTTCCGGTAAAACCAATTCATTGTTAAACATCTGAAATGAAATTCCAATCCCAACCCCTTCCGAAAATATGCAAATTCTATCTAAATCCAGCTCCATGGTGCAAAATACACTGTACCCCAATGAACGGTCAAACAGCTCTCTACCCACTCTCACAAACTTCCCAAGTTTACAAAATTAGTTTCTATGTATGTACATTTTAATCTATGAATATGAAATGCTTTTAAAATAATGAGTAAGCAAATAATAAAGTAATAGTTCATTTACTTGTCATTTATCTAATTACAAAGTACAAGTTAATTTGTAATCTAACATTCTTGTCGAGGTTTTTAATATGAAACCTAATTCAATTTATGTTTGAAAATCTTGTTACAATGAGTTGAGCATTCTACATTCAAGCTCAACTCAGGGGGATCAGAACCCACTGTGGACACTTTACTGAGACATGTTGTAATATATCAGCCAATCACTTGATTCATTGTGTTAGTGTCAATGGAGAGTTATCTGTTACTGTTTGAGCCCAGACAGTGATTTCTTACAAACAGAGGTAGTGCATTGAACAACAGCAGAAAATATGATCAAATAGTAATAACAGATTCTCTCTGCCTGGAGAATTCAGACCAGCCAGCCAAATGAAAGAGTTGAACTGTGGGCTCATCCTTTAGATTGACTGCCTATTCCCAATTCCCTGGTGTTGCACAACCAGATCTCCACTGCTACTTAATGAAATGTTTTCAGAACACTCTCCAGTATTCAACATCCCAGAATAAATGAATCATGGTTTCTGCCGCATCGTTGTGAAATGAACAGTTAGCATCGATATCTCATTGGAGATTAGCATGGCACTTCGTAACTGGATTAAACCCTTCGCAAGATCTTGGAGGAGGAAATGTCATACACGACTGCAGTAACCAATGGCCCAGAATTTATACCATTTGCTTATCAATTAAATTATGTTAATAGTTAGTTTGGATAATAGATTTGAATTGTTCATTAAGAAGCAACTAGAAAATTTGGGTTATTGTGTAAATTTGCTCAACAGTGAAAAAGCAAAACGGATAAACTTCAACACATTGACATAGTTGTAAAACTAACTACTTTATGTGTTGGCTTACATACAACCTTTACGGATTGTGTTAGCAATATGCAAAATAATACAGGTACCCTTAATGCTGTAATTTGTGAACAATTCCATTATCTGTATTTTTTTTTAACCCAATCTGCAAATTTTGCACATGCATTGTTTAACCAACCCACAAATTAGGCCTTACTTTAAACTGAATTATCAAAACCAGATATTGTCAAAATCATACTTTGTCCTCTTGAAACTGACTGACAGCATCTTATAAATCTGATTTGACTTGGTCTGGACTAGCACCTTCAGATCTTAGCAGATCATTATGCCAACTCCTGATTAGACTGAATATGACCCCTGAATATGCACTGTTGAGTGCGTGTCAACAGTCTATGGAAATATAGTGCTGAAAGTTTGCTCATATGTAAAAAAAAGAGCACGTTGGCAAAAACACTGCTCAATCATGAATTATAAGGCTTCCTGGTTCATGGAATAAATGAGGGGATGCCCACTGCATATAACTATGTTCTGAACTATTCTCCTGATAGGAGCTATCTTCCTGGGGAAAAAAAGGTGTTTGGCAAAACTTTTATTTTTNAAATAGAGAGAAGAGCCAAAACAGTCATGTGCTACCTTTTGTTCTGATCCCATCACACACAAGTCACAGAATAATGCAGTTCGATGCGATTCAAACTGTCATGTGTTTGTGAAAACAATCAAAGATAAACTATGAAGACTGTATCCTTTTAAGTCAAATTAAGTATTTTCTGCAGTATTCATTGTCTGATAATGATATAAATAACAACTAAAACATGTTCAGGGTAAAGCAACGAGCACACACACATAAAAAAAACGTAGGAGGCGGCTGAAAGCTTTGAACAATTCCCATTAGTCAGCAAGTCCGGTGCATTCATCCAATGTTATTGTAAAAGGAAAACTCCACAATGTGCTCCATAAACAGACAGTACCAGAATTTCACACTCTCACATCTTGCCTTTGCTGCCACCAATAACATGAACGGTAAGCGTGGATTAACTTTCGTGAAATCAAAATGAAAAATAAGCCACATGGATCTCAGTACAATTTCAGAGGTGCTTGAAAATCAGGCCTTTCAGCTGTAACAGCTCATCCTGCCTTATAATTCTCTGATAGGAATTTTATTCACAAGAACGGAATGAACACCCTAATTCAGAGGATCATGACTCAGAGTTCACCTTATGATGACAGTGATGTATCTACTGATGAGGAGCCGCTCTTACAGCAAAGCTCCAATGAAGAAAGCAGGATGCATGTGAGTACGCAAGATTGCAGTGAATTTCAATCAAGTCTTCCAAATAATCCTGTAGAACACGGGATAATTTTGATGCGATTATGTAGGAAAACAAAACTCTGCACTCAAAGACCAGCCTCTGTGACTGATAATATTCAGTAGCTCCTGAAAAAAATTATAGTAGTTACTGAAAATGGCGTTAAGAGTCCAAAATATTTATTCAGAAAGTATATATGTATAAGTCTATTTTTACAGATGGTATTAACTTTAATAACCTTAATACACCTTCCATAACAAATCAACCCTGTGCTTAATATGAGTTGATAAAGAACAAGTGGTTTTTGCATGTAGTAATTATGTCCTCCAGTATTTATTGTTCCCACTGTACAGAGATCCCTTCTGAAATGCATTCTTCTGTCTATAACTGTCTAAATGCAGCACCAGACATCAGACCATGTTACAAAGTATATAAAAAAAAACACTTAAAAGCTTCTCTGTGCCTCCCGCTTTCTCCTTGCAGTTACTGCTGATCTTATGTTGTTGAAACATTAATAGTATATTATGCTTACTGGTGGACACCATAGAGTTTGATTTGGTTTTGCTTTATTGCCTCTTACAGAGCAAGATAAGACATAGGCTACTTTCAGAGACTCGCCTGAGTTGAAGACCTAATTTCACGAGTCCTAAAACAACATTAAGCCAATTTTTCTTTAGTCGCTGTCTCGAACAATCCTAAACTTTTCAATAAAGTCGGTGAGTGAGAAAGGTCAGCCCGGTCTTCAGCGACATACGTAGGAATGGCCAATGGTGAACACTTGGTGTAGACTGAGATCGCAGGAGTCGTTGATTGTCGAGAAAATAGAAATTAATCTCATAGCATGTCTTAACAGCAGACTTTTGCTCAGACATGCTTCTTGATTTATTTCTGGCTAAGAAGCCATAACATTTTATTGTTGAGAAAACAGGATTTTGGAAAATATAATGTCTATTATTTATATAGATTGTACAGCAGGGAAACAGGCCATTCGCTCAACCAATCTGTGCCGGTGTGCATACTGCACATAAGTCTCCACCCACTGCTTATTCCCTACCATACCTATCTACTCTATATAATATTATGCATAATATATTTCTGTAATAGTATAACAGGCCATGAGAAAGTCATTCTTTATCCACTTTGGCAGGAAAGTTTTTTCCAGTACGGAAACCTTCAGTGAATGATTCAGTGAATCTTTACAGAAGGAAACCCATTGAGGAGATTAATATTCAGGACAGGGTAAACATCTCCCGAACTCTTAGTAAAGTGAACAATAAAATGTTCCATTGATTTCAGAGAAAACCGTTCACTAATCTCCTGGACGTCCGCGATAAAACATTGAGCAGTTTATATAAAGTTTCAAAGCCCTATACAGACTTTTGCACCTAATGAAGAAGGCTTAGGATAGGTCATTTAAAACTGAATTTGAAAATGAATGTTATTATAGATGATGGGAAGGTTCCTCCATATCAGCAGGGGGAAAAAATCTTGTTGTTGTACGAGCAAGAGACTGGGAAAAGGATGATATTAATCTGAACATTTCATTTCATTTCATTACATTTTGTGGAGAAATTTCTAAATTGTATGTGATACCTGCATGGATTTTAATGTCAAGCACCATGTGAGACTTCTGGCACCCACTCCCTCTCTTTTCTACCATAATAGGACAATCTCACCAAATTCAAAATGAGTTTATCATCATTAAGAATAGCAGGTAATCTCTTAATAGTTCAGCATTAGATTACCAAAGAGCCTCAGGATGTGTGACAGCTGAATGCTGAATGATGTTTGATAATCCAATGTGTTCTACTTTTCATTTAAAATCTCCTTTGACAAATGTCATTCTGCCAATTCAGGGTGATAACATTAGAGTCTATTTTCCTTTTTAGGTAATAAGGAATATTAACACATATGCCAGGACTAAGACTATTGCTCAAGGCTTTCTAGATATGGCCCTATTTACTGCAAATGCCTCGCAGATGAAGCATCTCCTACAAGAAGGCCCGAGCACACAGTTTTACTACTTCCTATTCGTCTACTGGTATGTATGTGAATTATCTTCATTGCACATTACAATTAAAATAGTTTCAGAAATAAGTGGACAACATTGTTTCTATCCAGTAATCAAAGTCTAGGCAGTCTCCTATTAAAATAGCTTCTATCTAATCACTGCCACCCTACAACCCAATCACCTGCCACCAATGGCTATTCGGGAAAGCTATTCGGCTATTTCCTGATTGTCCCTGTGAAAATGGCTCCCAATTATTTTTTAAATACATAGGCAGCGGGTGACTAGGGCTAGAGGGGGCTCAGACCATCTAAATCTACCTCCAGAATGAGTTGTAGGAGACTGAAAGCTGCTGTCAGCACCAGCCACACCATCGCTAGGTCCCCAGGATTGGACGGACATTACGGTGTACTGATTGTGTACATCTCTGGTGTCAAAACCATGAACTCCACAATCACGAAAGACATTTGTATGTTAAATGATTTGATTCGCTAGTGTAAAATCCCCATAAAACAAGCAGTTAATGTGTATTCTTCATGTAGTCACGTACTAGCTTCACAAAACGTCAGCCAGTTTCCTCTTCAACTGCTCCATTGTAAGACATGTTTTGGTACAAAATGTCACTTTACAACAAAGTAATGACTATTAAATTAGATTATTCAAGACTATCAAACAAAACCATGATAAACTGCTTCATATTTTTTCCGTATATAAGCTAGGTCGAGAATACAGAAGAGTTGTACACCCTCAGATATGGTTGCAGTTTTTGTACAAGTTAATGCTTGTTCTTCTCCACTTTCTTTGCAGTGCATCTCTGTCATACTTCAGCTGATTGTTGCAGGCCTGTTAATTTATAAAGGATCAAAGAACATAGAATGTGATGATCCAGAGCGCAGGCTCAGTGACAGGTACATTAGCTCTTGCCATATCTATGCTGGTTGTTCAGGTGTCTTTCACTTGGTAGGCCATACATAAAAGTTTAGCTTGAAATAGACAAGGATTTCAAATGTAATGGGTCTGTCAGTTGCACAGCTGACGGGGAATGGATTTTTGACTGATAGTCTCAGACATGTTGCTCACAGTTCCATGAGATGAAAGTCTAAAGGTTGCAGAAGCAACAAGGGATGATGCAAACCTAACTGCTTGGCGCTACCAGACTTTCAGGCATCCCGAGCAGTGTGTTGCTGTACATCTTATTTTCAATGCCATAGCTTCCATCTTAAATCGAAACATCTCTTTGCAACGTTTAGGTTCAATACACTGTTTAGATACAAACTTTTCATTGATCCGATATAACCCTTTCAATCAGAAATAACATGTTGAATATAATGATATTCACTGATCACAAAATAGATTCTTCTCTCTGCTTTTCTGCTCCAGTCTGAATTGTTTACTGCATTGGATTACTTAGAGTTACTAGACATGAAGGCCACCCTGTAAAACCCTATTGAATATTAAGAATAGTTTAAACTTGTGACCAGATCTTTTAACCCAGGGGGAGTTTAATCGCGTATATCTAATCACAAGCATTAAATATGCATTCTCGCTAATTGTTCTACATTCACGGCCTCGCTCCCTCCTACCTCTCTGACCTACTAACCCCCTACTTACCTGCCCGTACCCTCTGTTCCTCTGGCTCCGGTCTGCTCCACATCCTCCGCCCTAACCGCCCTACCATCGGTGGTCGGGCCTTCAGCCTCTCAGCCTCTACGCTCTGGAACTCCATCCCCCGGTGCCTTTGCCGCTTCCTCCCTTTCCTCCTTCAAGGCCGGTCTCAAGACCTTTCTCTTCGACCGTGCCTTCAGCTCCCCTCTCGACTCTCTACCCCCTCCTCGCTCCCTCCCTTCCCTCCCGTCACCCTGACCATTTCCCCCCTGCTCGGGTCCCGACTCAACTGGGACGTCCTCCCTACGTGAAAGGCGCTCTATAAATGAAATCTTGTTGTTGTTGTATATTGTGTGTTAATTTTTAACAACAACAAAATTGCATTTGTACAGTGCCTTTCAAGTCGGGATGACATCCCAAGGTGCTGGACAGATAGAGTTACAGACCCAAGCTGGGGGTCGGGGTGGAGGAGGGTGGAGGGAAGGTGGGGAAGCAGGGAGATCGAAAGCACAGTCGAAGAGGAGGGTCTTGAGATGGGTCTTGAAGGTAGCAAGGGAGGGGATGAGGCAGAGGGATCGCGGGATGGAGTTCCAGAGTGTGGGGGCAGAGTGGCTGAAGGCCCGCCCACCAATAGTGGGGCGAGCAAGGCGGGAGACGTGAAGCAGGCTGAGAGGAGGGAGGAAGCAGGATGGTAGGGGGTAAACTTACAATAAATCGTAACTTTGGTTCTAATGATAGAACTCTTATTGTTTTTCATGGATGGCGGAATACAACTTGGCATTGGCAATAAGGTCATAGGCTCTCCCAGAAGAACTGTCGATTTGATACTCATTGAACTGTAGTAAGATTGTAAATTAATTGTTGACTCAGTGTGAAATGTGGTGTATGATTTACAGAGGGTGCATGTCTGAGTCAGGCATGTAAACGGCATGGAATGATTGTCCAAATTGTTAAAGGAACTATATGGGAATACAATGAGGCTATGAGAAATATAATAATAATAATCTTTGCATTTGACATAGCGCCTTATCAAGTCAAAGAGCTTCACAGTATATACTATAAAGTGTAGTAACTGTGTATTTTGTGGGGGAAACGCAGCAGTCGATTGCACTAATATTAGGGAAAAAAATAGAAAAAANGAGTTGCACACAGCTTTGAATAGACTTTAGCACCAGAAAGAAGGGCTGTCTGGGTTTGCTGATGAGCGGCTACTTGACACTAGTAAAACAAACCATTATGTGAGATCACTGAATGACTACCTGAACCAGGGTGTTGAGTTTAGGGAGATAAGGGACTTTGTCTTGACTTAAAAGAGAAATGTTGTAAACAACAAGTCGCCAACTTGTTATTTACAAAATTCTTCAAGTAGGAAGAAATGTGTGTGACTGTGGCTGCCAGAGTTAAGGAAGAGAGACTGTAAACTGCAGAAGGCAGACAGAATCTATCTAGATCAGGAAGATCTCTTGCATTGGACAATAAAGAGCATTTCTGAACTTAAAAGAGGTTCTGAATGGGACCAAGGACAGAGATAATTTGCTTTCCTGGAGGTAACCTGGTTTTGTTATTCCTGGAATACAAGACCAGTAAAGCTGTAATAATAATAATAATCCTTGCATTTGACATAGAGCCTTATCACATCTTCGTGACATCTCAAAGCCCTTCACAGAATATACTATAAAGTGAATTGACTATTTTGTGGGCAAAACGCAGCAGCCAATTGCACACAGCAGTGAACCACAAAGAGTCATGGATTGAGTGACCAAATTATTACTATTTCTTTTCTTCTATTTCAAATTGTCAAATATGTTTTGAAGGGACATATTTGACAATTTGAAAATGGGATTATATAAAGAAGTATTTTCAGGTAACTCCACAATCTGATACAGGAATTGTACAGGAATTTTTCACAAGTATCATTGGAACAATTCAGTTTTACTTTAAGTCAGAATTACTGAATAAAGCTTTGAAGAGAGAAAACACAGCCCAAGTCTCTGAAAGTCTGAATTAGCTGAATTAAAACTCAATAAAATTCAAATTCCCCAAAACTAGAACTAACTGTGTATTACAAGGTGGCAATTTAGCTCTACGTCATTTGGTAGGTATGGCTACGGTCATTCACTAAAACATAAATCTGCTGAATACCAAGAGATGTCCAGATGCATACATTACTCAAATGCTTACATGTTTCATGAAAACTGGCTTGGTTCCAGTTCAGGTGCTGCTCAAATTCTATGGTATTTAATGTATATATACTGTAATGTGTTATAGTTCAATGTGAATGCTTGTTGGATTCAGAGTGCAAAAAACCATTCGTGGCTGGCATCAGTGATCAAGCTATATGTTCACAGGCAGACTGCTTACAATCTGATATTTTACTGCTCTCCTTGCATGTCCGCAGTTATTTCATGGCAATTAGGCTGCTTTTTTGTAAGGGATATTTTACGAATATGTTATGGTTGTAAAATTTGAAAGGCTGTTCAAGTGTTTCTAAAAGTGATACCAGCCATTCCACATCTACAATCAATTGGCGGCTGCTGAAGCTTGGCGCCTCCAACTGATGGAACCATCGCTCAATGGGTAGAGATATGTGTCTGAATTGTGAACACTCATGTGTCTCTGGTCAGCTTTTCGTCGGCTAACCAAAAGAAAAATCAATTGGCGGAATGACATTTACACCTCAGCAAGTTCCATTCAAATAAAGTTGAAATAACTACACCAGTCTTTATGCTTTGAGTCCTGTTAACACACAAGTCCTGTTCTTTGCAAAATGTCAATAAAGCTTCCTGAAAACAAAGTAATTGTTTTACCACAGTAGTATTTTACTGAGATGTTAAGATAGCTGTCTACCTCCTTACCATCTTTTGCCTGTATAATGAGTTGCAGGCATATTTTTAACCGTGGTCTCAGGATAAAGTTTCTGTTGCAACCTAGGGCGCCAGTAAAACAATTACTGTGTTAATGGACCTTGGAATAAGAAATCTTCCGTGTGCCTATTCTAGATATCTATGGAATTGTGTTTGAGATTACATTATTTATTAAGTGTAGCTTAGCTATTAGAGGTTCTGCCGATTTAAATTAGATACATCAGATGATGGACCTAATTTAATATTTTTAGTAATGCTTCTAAACTGCCTTTGTGCCTTGGTGCATGACACAAACAGAACACCAATTATTTAGTAATGGCATTTTTTTTTATTTTTGTTGTACTGCTGTGGTTTTGTTACCAACTGCTTTGGAGGCATGAAGGCAATTAGATTACACCGATTGGAGTTGAAAAAGCAGTGGTTTGCAATGGGATTTGCTAATAGCGACTCTATCAGCAAGTCTAAACACAAACTGACCTTTTAGACATAATTGGGACTGATTAAATAGCATTACAGGTAATATAGGCTAATGAAGATTATACTTCCAATATTTGTGGTGAGCTATTGCAAGTCTCTTTTCGACTTTGGGCACCCAGTATCCACATCAAACATTGACCAAATTCTGAGTGGAATGTTCTATTGGGCAGAGTAAATGGATGAAACACATCCAGCAGTGTCCCTGAACCCTAGCCTCAAAATAGAAGCTTCTATTGCAGTTGTGTTAAAATTTCACTTCCTGACATGATGTATCCTGTGGTCTGTCCGAGTGCTGCTAATTTAGTGCAATGTGTACCAAACTGTGGGCAAAATATGGCCTCCAGGAGCTGTAAGTCTGGCTCTCAGTTGGGAGCACTCTTGCCTCTGTGTCAGAAGGTCGTGGGTTCAAGCCCCATATGGGGGCTTTGGCTTCACAGTGTGCACTGTTGGGGAGTGCTGCATTATCAAAAGTGCTATCCTTTAGATGAACCATTAAACGTAGCTCCTGTCTGCCTGTTCAGGTGGATGTTGAAGATTCCACTTGGCAGGAGTGACTTGAATTCCTTGCAGGGGCATTGACTATCCTTTGCCAGAGCTGACCAGCAATGGGGTCCCCGTGATGTGGCCATCAACACTAATCTCAATTAAAATATTAAAATACCATCGATCCACGACTGTTTGTGGGACACTGCTGTGTGCAATTGGCTGCCGCGTTTTGCCAACAAAATTTACAGTCAATTCATAATATATTCTGTGAAGCTCTTTTGAGACATCTCGTGATAAGGTGCAATTATTATCATCGTCACCAATTAAAGGGCAAATACGCCACATTAGTAGAATCATTATCGATTGACCTGTCCAAGGACCTGCCTAATCAACACCAATAATCAATAACGTGGATTCCAGGATGCCTTCCAGTAACTCTTACTGAAATGAAGCTATGCCCTCCAAATCCATGATGCTCAGTTCTTCGCTCTTTCTTCCCTTGCAGAGTGCACTTGCTGAATAACGTGGTAACCGGGTTAATCCTGGTGATCACTGCTGTCAATGTGTTCATCACCGCCTTCTGGTTCAGTCCTGCTCGCACCACCCCAGAGGACCAACACCTCATTCCAACCACAACCTGCTCTGACTGTTGATGTCAATGAAGACGACTCATTAGAGACGAGACTATACTACACCACCAGCCGCTCTGTAAATGAAATGCATGGTGAGTTCCATATAATAAAAAATACCTCTTTACCGCCCCCAAAAAATAGTTTTGAGCTTGGTTTGTTTGATCAAAGGCGCTATACAAATGTAATCCTGTTGTTGGTGTTGATCTGCAACGAGGAAGCGGGGGTTGAGGAGGGGGAATGCAAGATTCTTAAAGATGCCATTTGACTCAAAAGCTCTTGGAGTGCAAAGCTCTTGCTCAATAACGTTAATCATTAAAACCAAATCACTCTTAAAGGTCACAGTTAAGAGTGTTGATTTACTTACTGTCTTTCTGTCTGAAAACTGCCACTTGACCTAAATAATTCACAGCGTTTTTTTCACAAGAGGATTTGCTGTCAAACTACCCGTACCTTCCCAGATTCTTTAACATGTGGTGTAATAAGCACACTTTGGGGTTAAGGGGAATTGTGCATCGCATTGATTCAGATTGCTGCAGACAGACAGTTGGGTTTATTGCATATGTCAATCTTGGCGACCACTTGCTCAAATGATGTGTATTCAAAACGGGAATCTGTGTGCAGATCACTCACTGATTGTTGCCGACCTGGACCCAGTTTTTTTTTATTAAACCTAATTTTTTTTTCAAATAAATCTTCCAACACTCAAAACACTCCTGTCGTCCCTCTCCTTTGCGTTGGCTGCTTGGCTTCAATTAGGCGAAAGAAAGAACTCTTTCAAATCATTGCTGGAAAACTCCAGGGATTTTAGGGAGATTGTACTTTTCTATCCATCAAATGCATCCGAGCTTTCCGAGGGGGGGAGAGACAAGGAAAAAAAAAACAGCTCATATATAGGATTAGACGCGGAATCGTGTCGGTAACAGCTCACACACGTTCATTCTCGCGTCTTTGCATTGAAGTACTGGGTGTTTTGCCCATTCCTGCACAGACAGTCGCTTGCCATTGCGTTGCTTTAAGGAACGCCTGGTATAACATGGGCTGACAACCGTGTGGCTTGAGACCGTGTAGCAACAACGTGCGTAAAAGCAGCGTCTCAAGACAGGTCGGGGAACCGTGGATTAAAACGCAACGCGAAAGGCAAAGGGGCGAGTGACTCCCTCCCGACTGTGGCACACACTCACTCACAGTCTCCGCCAACTGAACCATCTCTCCATCTCCCCCTGTCATTGGGATTCCCTCTCTTGCGCTCTGTGTCTGTCTGTCTGTCAGTCTGTGTGTGTGTGTCTGTCTGTGTGTGTCTGTCTGTGTGTGTGTGTGTGTGTCTGTCTGTGTGTGTGTGTCTGTCTGTATGTGTGTCTGTGTGTGTGTCTGTCTCTGTGTGTGTCTGTCTATGTGTGTGTGTGTCTGTCTGTGTGTGTGTGTGTGTCTGTGTGTGTGTGTGTGTCTGTCTGTATGTGTGTCTGTGTGTGTGTCTGTCTCTGTGTGTGTCTGTCTATGTGTGTGTGTCTGTCTGTGTGTGTGTGTCTGTCTGTCTGTCTGTCTGTCTCTGTGTGTGTCTGTCTGTCTGTGTGTGAGTGTCTGTCTATGTGTGTGTGTGTGTCTGTCTGTGTGTGAGTGTCTGTCTGTGTGTGAGTGTCTGTCTGTCTGTGTGTGTGAATGTGGGATCCGAGGAAAGAAAGAGCGAACTTAAAAGTTCCCGACGCTTCGAAACAAGCGGCTGCTCAGCACTTTGGGCGCATTTTACGGCCGTGATGGGATGCGCAGCGTAAACTGTGGGGGTTGTTGGCGGTGGTGTTGGGGGAGATCAGAGCCGAAAGCCTTGTCAGGGACACAGAGCGCAATATGAACACAACGCTCCGCTTTTCCTGATCTATCATCGTCTGCGCGGTACTGCGAGGCGGTGCGGAACATCGCTGTGGGATCACAGCCGCATCGCTTCACCAGTCATCAGTAAAATGCTTCTTTACCCAAACACGAACCACACTGGAGCTGTGTCTGAGTGAAGAGGGAATGGATATCATTGAATTCAATAAATAAATTCCCCAGTGCTGTGGTGGGAGGGGGGGGGGGGGTGTTGTTGTTGTTGTTGTTGTTGTTGCAAGTACAGTATTTGGAATTTGGGGGGGAAATGGCTTTTTGCAATAGGATTGTAATCATCCAGTTTTCTCATTGCAAAGCAACACGTCGTCAAACTCCAGTGTGGTGTGTGTGTGTGTACAAGTGACCAAGAGAGGCGACTAACTCCTCACACACACACTCACACACACATACAGAGAGAGAGAGACACAGAGACAGACACACACACAGAGACTGTTCTCTGGGAATGAAGTGAGAACCTCTTAATTCCGGGGCTGTGCGCTTTATCTCCAAACAGAAGCCCCGGGTCTGCCCCCCTGGCCTTCGCTTAAACGTGGCATCGGAGTCAGAAAACCTGAGTGAAATCCATTGCCTTTAATCCTCGCAGCTCAATTCATTTCAGATTTGGAGGCAGAGAGTCGAGGGGGACAGAGAGCGGTCCCTTGTTGTGTGCCCGTCTTGTGCTTTGCTCTGATACACTGACCCCCCAATGCATCCAGATCTGTCAGCATTTAGAATATAACGCACCCCCCACCACCCCCACCCCCCGCATATATCCACTGCTAACAAAACAAAGAGAGGGAGAAATTCCTCTTATTTAAGATCAATGCGGGGCTTCATTCGGGGATGTGCGGTACAGCCCAGAGCATCCATCCAGATACTGTGCGACTTCTCTCCCTCCCTCCCTCTCTCCCTCCCCCTCTCTTTCTCTCTCTCGCTGCTCCATCCTATAACGTGAGACGTCAGCTTTGGCCAATGCCCCCCCCCCCCCCCCACCCCCTCCCCAGGATAGGTTCAGCGGTGGGTGTTGATGTGGGAGTTTGGGCTGTGTGTGTGTGTGTGTGTGTTTTATTGCCTCCATTTCTCTCTCTCTCCTCTCTCTCTTCCTCTTCCCTCCCTCCCTCCCTCCCTGCTGCTGTTGGCTGGAATCGCTTTGCCCAGTAGTGTTTGGTGTGAGTTGGTGCTGAATGCGCGCCTTGTGCAGATAAAGAGCTTTTTTGTGTCTCTGTGTGTGTGTGTGTGTGTGTGTGTATCTGTGTGTGTTTTTTCCCCCCACCTCTCGTTGTAGGAACACGGAACACTTTTTTTTGTGTGTCTCTCCCAAGTTTTAGATCTAATCCCCGGGATCAGAGACTGGTTGGTGTTTTTTATTTATTTACTTATTTATTATTATTATTATTATTAATCTATTTATTATTATTTTTGTTTGGTGGCTGGGAATGTTTGCATTGGGCGACCCTCGTTCCTTTGGTCTCGTTACTCGTCCACGGTCACCAACCTCTTAAAAGTCTGGGGGAGGGGTGTGGGGTGAGGGGGGTGTTGGAGGGTGGGGTGGGGTGGGGAGAGGGGGATTCATCTCAATTAAGCGATGGTTCGCACTTTTTCGAACACGAATTCGAGCGAAACGCGGCTGTGAACCTTTTACGCAGCGTCTTTCGAGAGCAAAAAAAAGGAACCCAACATAACAGAGTCTCTCTGTTTGTTTGACAGACTGGAGTGTGGAGAAGAAGAAATAAATATATATAGAGAGAGAGAGGGAGAGGGAGGGAGAGGGAGAGAGAGATCTGACCAAGTTCTAGCCAAAGAGAGAGGGAGAGAGAGAGAGAAAGAAAAGCAAGTCGCCTTGTTCCTTTTGAATCACAGACTGTGTTGTGTGTGTGTGTGTGTGTACTGTGTGGGTGTGTACTGTGTGTTGTGTGTGTTGTGTGTGTGTGTGTGTGTACTGTGCTGTGTGTGTGTGTGTGTACTGTGCTGTGTGTTGTGTGCGGCCACTTGTAACCTTGGGAGAGCGATGTTCTAGGCTGGCGTTGCTGTCTGGGATGGGATTGCAGCGATTCGCTATATGATACACACCCCAACCCGCTGTTTGTTCTCCTCTTTATGAAATGGAAAATCGCGGGGTCTACAGTGTCCTCTATTACTTGGTGTTAAACGCGCCGCTTTTGCTCTATGTCAACGGTAAGTGGTGGTGGTTTTTTTTTTCTTTTTGGAATGGCTTTTGCGATTGTTTTGCTTTTTTTTGGTAACTCTCTGAAGGGGGTCTGGGTTGGCTTTTTATTGGGGGGGGTGTGGAGGTGGTGGGGAGTGGGGGAGATCAAATTGCATCAAATTGCAAAAATTTTGCAAAGAAAGAAAAGAAAGAGCCAACGCTGCGGCGACGATTAGAGTCAATGGAATAAATGACTGATTAGTTGTGGACAGTGGCGAACAGTGACTGAGCGTTTTACACGAGTTGTTAACATTCAGCCCCGACTGCCATCTGCACCTCACACTGACCAAGGTTTGATGTTAAAACTCTCCGAATATAAACTCGTTGCTCTACACTTCACAGAGTGGCTTTTGGCGGGTGAAATAAATGAAAAAAAAGAGAGTGCCTTGTTTTTAGACGTAGATTGCCCAGTTTATGAGTTAAAAAATGTGAATCCAGTCTTCCAACTCGTTCCAAACAGTGACTGCATTTTTTCTGTTCATCCATCTGATTTTTTATTAATATTACTATTGTGTGTGGAGGGGGGTGGGGGGTTGTGGGGTGGTAGCTATCTTTGCAAATTATATTAGATATCTGGATACTTTCCTCCCTGGCTACTTTGCACACATATATATATATATAAATTTGCCAAAGCAGTGATGATTATGTAACTGGTTGTGGTTGTGTCCAGATTTAACATCAAATAAAAAACATAAGCTGTGAACGGGAGCTTCTCTGCTCTGGAGATGAAACACAATGTTCCCGTTTGTTGTAGGTGACTGTTTACATACCAGAAGCCCTGACCAGGACTGGATTCAAACCAGATTTACATTGGAAAGATTCATCTTGTCGGGCGATTGCTGTGGTTATTGTTGTTGTTGTTAACCGTGGCTTTAACTATTGTCTCCCCCCACCCTCTCCCCACCACCACCACCACCCCCAACCCTCCATCGCCATCACTTACACCCCCTCAGCAAAATTTATCGAGGTGCCTCACGATGTGACTGCTAAAGAAGGGGATGATATTGAGATGTCCTGCGCTTTCCGTGCCAGCGGCACCACCTCCTACTCCCTGGAGATCCAATGGTGGTATCTGAAAGAGACGTCAAGGGAGCGGGGGCATGAGGTGGCACTCAACACCCAGGGCAGCAGAACCAGGGTAAGGAGGGTAGTGGTGGGGCAAGAGTGTCTGAGGGTAGGAGAGGGTGGGGGGTGGGGGGGAGAGTGGAGGGGGTGGAGGGTAATTCAAATCAAATAAGTATATATATAGGGTGGGAGGAACCCACTTCAATGTCAGCAAAATCTGGAGCGTGGATTATTGGTACCAAAAAAAAAGTTGGGGAGTCCTACGTGGGTTGAGGGGAAACCTGGTGCCTTACTCCAATAAGCAACGCTAAGCAAATATATTCCAGCCAACCGACATCATCATCATCACAACAATAAGCAAATATTCGGCTTTAAGGTGGGGATATGTATTAGGAATCAAATAACAACTTAGACACAGGCACATTCATCCCACTGACTCAAGCCAGAGAGCGAGCACGAAGCTTTGGTGTGGCTCTTTCGTGTAGGAAAACCTTAAGAGATAGAGAGGGAGAAGGTTCGAGAGTGGGTTAAGGTTAAGGGCGATGGAGAAGACTCGTTGGCGTTGAAACTAATGCGACCTCACAGGTCCACAACAGGCGATCCATCTCTTGCGAACGGAAATGATGATGAGTTAATTATCGGATCGTGAGTTTCCAATGAGACGATCTGCAACGTATTTCTAGATCGAGAGAGAGAGAGAGAAATCTTGGGAGAAAAATAAAAGCACTAAAATCTAGATTTAGAACGATATATCTGGGGGGTGAGGTGACTGTGCGTAAATAAGACCCAAAGAGTCAGGTTAAAAGCCACTGCTGATTTACAGTGGGGAGAGGGAGTACCACAGCAATGAGGTCAGTCAATCTCTGAGCTCAGTCAGGACAACAGGTCTGGGAGTCAGTGCCCAATGTCAGGGGTTGAGAATCAACCCCACAGCTTTGCAGGAAAGGGCAATATTTGAAGCTTGGAGATTGACACACATACACGAGAGGGAGGGAGGGAGGGAAGGGAAGAGGTTATCGCTCCGAAAAATGAGTCCTCTCGGGTTAATCCCAGGATTAAATCAAGGGGTGGATCGAGGATGCAAATCTTCCCAAACGCAAAGTGTCAAAGCGAGTAGCGTCCATTGGGCAGTGGGCAAAAACGGTCAGAGCTGCCGGTGAGGATTTACAAATCATTGCATTGAAGATGTATGTGTGAATTGTCAAAAGGGAAAAAAGACAAGAAGCCGCATTCAAAAAGCCGAGGTCTTTTGATGTAGGATCTCTCAAGCCTTCCTTTCCCGACGGAAGATGCGGCTGAGGAGGGCAATGGTCGGCAACTGGAGCAAAGAGTCATCTCTGGAGTGGAGAGGGTTTTTTTTTATATTCCACTCTCAATCCTATGACCTGCAGTCAGTCATCCCGACAGTCTCCTTCCTGGCCAAAGACAGGCTCCCAGGAGATTAATCCACACCAAAGACCCATCAGGTCCCTGGAATTAGGGTCCACGTTGGATTGTAAAGCCCCTCTCTCTCTCTCTCTCTCTCTCGCAGCGATAAACACCAGCCTCTGTGCAAAGATCTGGAATAAGAGGGATATGGGGCTAAAGGACAAGTCAGGAGGTGCACATCTAAAGCAACTACGCCTTAATACAGTCTCGGATCCAATCATTCGTCCACAGCAAATAATACCCCTTATCACATTATAACGGGCGTATGAATAAAATATCGCCTGTAATGCTATTTATTTGATGACTTTACACCGGGTGAGCAACTTTCCAGCTTCAACTGATTTTGCTGGCGTTGGTTTGGGCCACTTTTAACCCGAGACGCGGGTTAAGCGACTTAAATAAAACCATCAATACAACCAATATGTTAGGTCGCGATCTGGACCAGATCGGGCTGTGGGGGTGGGGGGGGGGGGGAAGAGGATGAGAACAGTACAGCTCTACTCTCATTTCCTATAACCTTTCCCTTCTGGTCCAGTAGCATCTGTTTGATATTTCACTCTCGGTTTGATGGGTTGAATTCTCTCTCTCTCTGTGTTTTTTATACGTTTCAGGTATCATTTGACAAGGATGCCACCAAAATCAGCGTAAGTCACTTACACGTACTCTCTCTCTCTCTCTCTCTCCCTCTCCTTTTGTAGTTGCGAATCAGTTTTAAGGCGATTTTTTTGTTCTGAATCCAACAATAATGATGTGGGGAATTAGTCGTTGTAACTGTTCCCGGCGGCAGGTTAGTGGGGAAAAAAAGGATAACATGCAATAACCTGCGACCAGTATTGCCTTCCTGTATCGTGATCGCCCCACAGTCCCGCACTCGACGGGTTTAAATCCAGTCACTTGTTCTGGTGGATACATTACATTGGCTTCTCACCGACATCCAACCGATGTTGTTGCAGCATTTTATTTGATGGTTTGAGCGTTACCGGGAGCCTCGTGTTTGCGGGTAAAGTGAAGTGAAGTGAAGTGTGGAGGGAGGAGTTGGGAGGTACAGTGCAGTGCAGTGCAATGCGGTGCAGGTGAGTTGCTGCCTGTCAGTTAGTCAGTTAGTTAGTTGGTTACTTGTTGTTAGTTGCCGAGTCTCACTCACTAGTCTCGGTGAAGCTACTGATGTGGTTCTGATCGCCTTCTCTCTCTCTCTCTCTCTCCCTTCCCTCTCTCTCCATCCCTCTCTTCCTCTCCCCCTCTCCATCCCTCTCCTCTTCTCCATCCCTCTCCCCCTCTCCATCCCTCTTCCTCTCCCCCTCTCCGTCCCTCTCCCCCTCTCCATCCCTCTTCCTCTCCCCCTCTCCATCCCTCTCCATCCCTCTTCCTCTCCCCCTCTCCATCCCTCTCCTCTTCTCCATCCCTCTCCTCTTCTCCATCCCTCTCCCCCTCTCCATCCCTCTCTTCTTCTCCCCCTCTCCATCCCTCTCCTCTTCTCCATCCCTCTCTTCCTCTCCCCCTCTCCATCCCTCTCCTCTTCTCCATCCCTCTCTTCCTCTCCCCCTCTCCATCCTTCTCCTCTTCTCCATCCCTATCCCCCTCTTCCTCTCCCCCTCTCCATCCCTCTCCTCCTCTCCCTCCCTCTCCATCCCTCTCCGGTCTTCTCCATCCCTCTCCTCCTCTCCCTCCCTCTCCATCCCTCTCCTCTTCTCCATCCCTCTCCCCCTCTCCATCCCCCTCTTCCTCTCCCCCTCTCCATCCCTCTCCTCCTCTCCCTCCCTCTCCTCTTCTCCATCCCTCTCTTCCTCTCCCCCTCTCCATCCCTCTCCTCTTTTCCATCCCTCTCCCCCTCTCCATCCCTCTCCTCCTCTCCCCCCCTCTCCTCTTTTCCATCCCTCTCCCCCTCTCCATCCCTCTCCTCCTCTCCCCCCCTCTCCTCTTTTCCATCCCTCTCCCCCTCTCCATCCCTCTCCTCTTCTCCATCCCTCTCTTCCTCTCCCCCTCTCCATCCCTCTCCCCCTCTCCATCCCTCTCCTCTTCTCCATCCCTCTCCCCCTCTCCCCCCCCCCCGCGCTGACCCGCAGACGGTCCGCGTGTTGGGCAACGACATCTCCCACAAGCTGCGCATCTCCGGGGTGAAGAGCGCCGACCAGGGGGTGTACGAGTGCCGCGTCACCGACTTCATCGACCACCAAACCCAGGAGCACAAGGCCCAGGCCCGGCTGCGGGTCACGGCCCGACACCGGCCCGACGTGCAGGCGGCCGAGGCCGTGTCCCACATCCAGAGCCACGGGCCCCGCAGGAGCGGCGGCGGCGGCGGCGGCGCCTCCACCCCAGCGCCCGACTCCGACAAGCGGGGACCGGCACCCGAGCCCGAAGCTGCTGCAGAGAGCGGCTCCTCCTCCTCCACCGCCTCCGCCATCGCCACCGCCTCCTCCTCCTCCTCCCCCCCACCCCACTCGCCCGCCTCGGCCTCGGCCTCGGCCTCTCCGGCCCCGGGCAACGCGGCCATCATCGGACAGCACAGCTCCGGTAAGTGGGGCCACAGCGCCATCGCGTGGAACCTCACCCGAGAGCGGCGGCGGCGGTGGCGGCGGCGGCGGAGCAGGAAAGATAAGACCCCCGCGGGCACCTCCAGCTGGTGGGGGGGGGAGGGGGGGGGGGGTTGAGTGGGTGGGGGTTGGGTGAGGTTTGAGTGGGTGGGGGTTGGGTGGGGTTTGAGTGGGTGGGGGTTGGGTGGGGTTTGAGTGGGTGGGTTTGAGTGGGTGGGGGTTGGGTGGGTTTGAGTGGGTGGGGTTTGAGTGGGTGGGGGTTGGGTGGGGTTTGAGTGGGTGGGGGAGGGGGGGGGTTTGAGTGGGTGGGGGTTGGGTGGGTTTGAGTGGGTGGGGGTTGGGTGGGGTTTCAGTGGGTGGGGGAGGGGGGGGGGGTTTGAGTGGGTGGGGGGTTTTGACACATTGCAGAAACCCATCACCAGGCGAGTATCCATCCAAACCAAACTGAGAATTCCATGTATTCCCCCACACACACACACACACCCACACACCCCCCACACACACACACACCCCCCCACACACCCCCACACACCCCCACACACACACCCACACACACCCCCACACACACCCCCACACACACCCCCACACACACACATACCCCCCCACACACACACCCCCACACACACACCCCCACACACACCCCCACACACCCCCACACACACCCCCACACACCCCCCACACCCCCCCACACCCCCCCCACCCCCCCCCACACCCCCACGCACACCCCCCACACACCTCCCCACCCCCACACACATACCCCCACCCCCCCCCCACGCACACACACCCCCCCACACACCCACACACATACACCCCCACACCCCCCACACACACCCCCACACACACACCCCACACACCCACACACACCCCCCCACGCACCCCCCCCCCCCCCACACACACACACATACCCCCCCCCACACACACCCCCACACACACCCCCCACACACCCCCCACACACACCCCCACACACACCCCCACACACACCCCCACACACACCCACACACACACACACCCCCACCCCCACACACACACCCCCACACCCCCCCCCCACGCACAACACCCCCACATACCCCCCCCCCCCCCCCCACGCAGACACACCCCCCACACATACCCCCACACGCACCCCCACAGGTGGGCCACCTTTACACCATGTTCCGCACAGATGACTGTAACTCTCCCAACTGAATTCACAGCTAAACCCGCCCTGGTTTACGGTTATGTTCCTGCTTTTTGCATTTTCCGTTATTTTTTGGGTGGCGGAGAACGTTTTTCTTTTTTGCACGGCCGGGTTGTGATCTGCGCGCCCACTCTGTGCCGAATTCCTGAAATGACCCCCTCAGTATCCGAGCATAACTTGAGAGGATTCGAAGTGCAGGCTGCTTCCCGCCTTATGTTGATTTTTTTTTGAAGCACGCCTTAGATGTCACTGTTTTTTTTTCTTTAAGTGATCGTGTTGAAAAAGAAATCAGCATTTTAGTTTCGCCCACAAAATCCACAGTCAATCTACTTTACAATGTATTCCGTGAAGCGCTCTGAGATGTCTCAATGACGTGATAAGGCGCTACATCAAATGCAAGGATTATTATTTTTCAGTGTTGTGCTTCTTCGCAGTATCTTGTTGGCTTACAGCATGTTACAGTCACTACACTTTACCTTTGAAGTACTTTGATACGTCCTCCATGTATCAGATGCAGGGATTATTATTATGATTGTTTGCAGTATTTAATATTAGTAATTACACGCAGGCTTCTTGCAGGTGAAGCTGGAATAATATGTATTTACTATTGTTTGTTACTTACATCAGAAAAACAAGCTGACACAGTAAATAACTACTATTTGTACAATATAGTATTTGCAAATTATTTACAAACAGAAGTTATTTACTATGTCGGCTGGTCGTTTCACAAACATCATATTCAACAGTCCAGCCATAATAAACTATTTACTTTCTGTGCTGCAGCCATAGCAAGTTTACACCATTTGCATTTCAGTTCAATTTCAGATTGATATGAAATGGAGACAGTTTAAAAGTTGAATGCAGAGATTATTTAACTGCATTACCTTTGTTTGAGTTTCTCAGGGGTAGTTGGAATTGAGTTTCAGCTGGCAAGTAGCAAAGTAATAATAATAAAAATCATTGCATTTGATATAGCGCTTTTCACGTCGGGAGGACGTCCCAAAGCGCTTCACAGAACACACTGTAAAGTGAATTGACTGTATATTTGTTGGCGAACGCGGCAGCCAATTGCGCACAGCAATGTCCCACAAACGGTCGTAGATTGAAAATGACCAATTTATTATTGTTTTTGGTTTTGGAGGGATTATTATTAGGCTCTGTGTGGAGTAAGGAAACTTGCCCGAGGTTTCGCCCTCTGCCTGGAATTGAACTCAGGTCTCTCGCTTGCAAAGCGAGTGCTCTAACCACTGAGCTACAGGACTCCACTCTACAGGACTCAAAGTAAGGTCAAAAGTTGGGTACGCCCCAACATTCAAGTGTTTTCAGGGAACATGAACAATTTTAGAAATCTTTGCTAGAGCAAGCAACCCTGTTTTGAAATCAAGCTACAGGTAACAGGATCAGATCAAGCCATCCAGTGATTTGAATTGTACGTGGAATCAAGTGTAGTTTGCTAGGTTCTGTTGCATGGTGAAATTAATTGACAGGATGTGGATGTAGGCAGTCAAGGAGGAAGTCAAAACCTGAAGGGACCCAGATATTATCTTGGCTTAGCTGGAAGCACTCACAGCTCTGTGTCAGAAGGTTGTTGGTTCAAGCCCCATGTTTAGACTTACAGCTCACTCTCTACACTGATACTCACAAGGTCATGGTGAGTTGTGCTGCATTACTGGATATGCCGTCCTTCAGTTGAACATTAAACCAACGTCCCATCTGCTTGTTCAGCTGGAATGTTAGAGGTCCCTCGACACCATCTGAAAAGAGAAAGGAGTTTCTCTCAGTAATTGTTCTCCTGGCCAACAATCCCCAGATTAAATTGGCCATTCACTTCATGGCTGTTCTGGGATATTGCTGCGCGCAAATTGACTGTTGCATTCACCTACATAGTATGCTTCGCTTTACAACAATTACCTGTGAAATACTTCAACATTTTAGGCATATATCAAACATAATGACTATTATTTTTATATTAAATGCAGTTGAAAACAAGGATGAACAGGAGAATGTAAAGATACCCAATGATAAATTATTTTTTGAGGAATAAATCTAGACTATTAGAATGCTTGCACTTAAATAGATAGTAGTCAGAATCAGCCCTGAAACATCCACTGAACACTGTGGCTGATCAGACAATTTGGTTGGCTGAATGGGAGGAAGTCAACCTATTTTAGTGTAAATGGCATATTGATATCTAATAACTTCTGTCATGTTGTCAAGATTGCACCCATTGCAGAAGTTACCTTGGTTAGGTGATGTGAATAAAGTTCTTGTGGATAAGGAGTTGCTACTGACTGTGTAAGCCATTCCCTGGACACCACGTGAAGTTAAAGCGCTCTGAGACACTACCCTGCATGGAGGGCGCTATATAAGTGCTTCTTGTTGTTGTTGTTGTTGTTGTTGAAGTTAGCGTTGCTCTCTCTCGTTTTGTTATGGGTTTTGAGACCATTCAAGTAGTGCTGGGTCTGGGTGATTTTCTGTTGTCAGCATTTTGATAGTATGACAGGAAAAGATGGAGTGGGGACTATAATCAGAAGCCTCAGAAACCAGTCACACTGAGAGAGGAAGTAGCCAAAGTAGCCTCAGGGAGCAGAAGGAGGGAATACTTCTTGTTGAAATACACTGAGACTAATACTCTAGGTGTGCCCACAGCCTGGTTTGAATTTATTTGGAATACCTCAATGTGTTGTCCCATAGTGTTTGACTGTAATGGCTGGAACTCAGGTGTCCCCTTGGTTACCTCAGTGATTTCACTCGGGTTAAATAGCCTGGTTTATTCTCTTTTCTTCCATTCAGATGAGGCAGCTTTGGAGTCTCATACATGGGAGACTTGAGATTGAATGCAAATATGAAACATTTGGATTCAGGGTTTTTGCAAGTAAATGAGCTTTTGTGGCTTGGCTAGGACATGTGTGGGATGTAGCACTTCCCACAGCACTCAAGGATGTCCCTTGACAGAGGTGGCGGAGTCGTGTTGATGGTGCCTCGAGGAGAGAGCGCTCAACACTCCAGAAGGAGTGTGGACACGAGAAAGGAGAAAGCACAGGAACAAACAACATGAAAATATGGATAGATTTGCAAACCGCTTGGAATGTGCATTACCAGTTGCAATAGCACATGTCAGCTTAGCTCAAGACAACTGTGACACAATCACATCTAGTAATGAGATAGTTAGACGGCTATGTATTTTCCTTTTCAGTATGCGTGAGGCTAACAGGCAGCAGCTCCCTTGCAATGGCTTAACCTTATAATTTAGCATAACTCCAGTGGAATGTGGAGTTATGGTAAAGTTGCTGTGAATATGATCTTTTGTAGAAACTAATCTTGCTGTAAGGGAGAGAATATCGCAACAGGAAACAACTGAGTAGCATAGCAGGAATGAGAGTATGCCATCACTTTGGCTTTCCTACAAAGAGCAACGCACGTTTGAAAGAGGACCAGTGGGCTTTTCGATTATATTTTGTTACAGTTTTATGCAGTGTTGTACTATTTGCACAGCCAGAGCAATCTAAGAGAAATTTTCTCTGTTGTCACATTGCAAATGTAATCGCTTCCAAGGGCATTCGATCCCTACTTGGAATACTAAAAGAGAGTTAAGTACTGAGTTTGGTGAATTCCTGATGGAGTAGGTTTACCTACAACTTGTTCCTAGTAATGATAGGGAAGATGTTTCTATTTTGTATGATGGCCATTATGTTCCATATCTGGCTACCAGAATTACTGACTGAGTCTCTCTCCAAATCCTTAGAATCTAGATTTACAGTAATTCATCATCTTGTTCAATGCACTCACTAACATAATAATAATAA